AAAAAAAAAAAAAAAAAGAGAGAGAGAGAGAGAGAGAGAGAAAAGAAAATCTGAATCCATTACCTGTTAAATAATTTAAATTTATAACTGAATATTTTATCCAACATTAAACCTTCTGGCTCAAATGTCTTCTCCAATGCATTCTATTAAAACATTTAAGGAAAGATGATACTAATCTAATACAAACTTTCTCAGAATTAGGGAAAAAGGGAACTTTTTTAAAAGAGTGATGTTTTATTTTATGTGTATATTATTTCAGCTAAATCCCAGCCCTAAGGGGGAGCATTTTTCAAATGCTAAGACCAGACCAATATATGATGATAAAAGAAAATGACATATCAATATCCCTCATAAACATATCAGCAAAAGACTTTATCAAAATAATTTAAAATGAAATCATGCAATATCTAAAAGGGCTGGGCCTGGAATCTAGCTCAGTAGTTCCACACCTGACTTGCAAGCACAAGGTCCTGAGTTTGAACCCTGGTACTGGAAAAATAAATAAAAAAGCAAGCAAGAAGCAAACAGCAATGTATCGTGATCAAATGACGTTTATCTCATTTTATCTTGTAGCTAGATGTCCCTCCAAAGCCTCACGTGGTCACAGGTGGCTATGTCTAGAGTGTGGTGCAGGGATTGCTTCACAGTGCTCTGCTAGGATTAAGGGTGTCAGTGCTATCTACCGGGTAGTCTGGATTAGATATGAGGGACAGAGAGAAGGTGGCTTGGAGCATGCTGCCATCTGCCTATGACCTGTTTCTCCTCCAGCCAACTATGATTTGAAACCTCTACAAACTGTGAGCTAAATCAACCTTACCTTTTTAAACTTTGGGCGTCAAGTATTTTGTCTCAGCAATGAGAAAAGTAACTAAAACACCTCAGAAATTGGATTAACATCACAATCCATACCATTTGCCATATCAATTAAATGAGAAAAACTATATGAACTGTCTGTAAATGGAAAAAATCATTTCAAAAATTTAACATATATTCCTGATAAATTCTCAACAAACTAAGAAAAAAGGAACTACTTGAAATATGGTATTTTTGAAAGACCTCCATAGAACATCAAATCTAACGGAGAAAGATTAAGTCCTCTCCCCCCAGTGATCTGCAAAAAGGAAATATCTCTCTGCTATCACCATTTGTACTCAACACTGTACTTATGAGCTTAGCTTTAGGAATAAAGTAAGACCCCCTAAAGTGTAAAGATTGAAAAAGATAATCATCTGTTTATTCAAATTTAATTCTGTAAGAAAATGATAAGGAATCAAAGCAAATGAATAAATAAAGGAGTCTAATGCTGCTTTTAACAGTATGAAAAAAGTTATGAGTTCAGTGTTGTCCAACGGACATATGCATGAAATCTCTACACTGAAAACTGTAACATATTATTGAAAAAACATTAAGAACAACCTAAATAAATGAAGAGATATACTATGCATAAAGATCATAAGACTCAACAGCGTGAATGTTCTCCAACAGCTCTATAGATTGAATGCAATGCCGAACAGCCCAATATGTAATCTCTTGGCTTCCACATGGCAAGTACAAAACTGGAAAGAACACAGCTCACACTCTGGTAATAAGAACAAGTAAAAAGCAATCTGCAAATTCAAATTTTACTTTAACCGATCTGACTGCTGAGGTTATAGGGCAATCAATCATCCCAAATATAAGGAAAGACGGTTGCTCCTGAAGACACATTGGATATAAGCACTTTAATACTTGGCTAAGTCAATATTGGACACCTGTAAGAACTGTTAATGAGTTGCTAAAGGCTGAGTATGTGCTAACAAGAAAACAAAGAACCCACAGAGATCATGTGATATGCACAAAGGGAATTCATACCCATGCACAGGTTCTTCACAGACCTCATCAGATGTTCACAACAAAAACTACACGGTAAAATGCCCAAGAAAGCAACTCTTACAGCACAGCCTTTGGAGAGAAGAGCAGCCAATGAGAGAAAAGCATGAAGTCCAGCCTGCATCTCTTCCATCAACACGGAGTGACAGAGTCTTAAACCACCAAAGCACAGGTAACAAACCCTATTATTCTTTGGACTCTACTGAAAACCCATTAAATCAGGAGAAAGAAGCATAAAGAGACAATCATCAGCCCAGGTTAAGAGAAGGCATTCTCACAAGTAGAAGCTGGAAGGATAAGTCCCCACTTCCAAACTCCAGCTCACAATGGTTGCTCGGTCTATTATACGGATATGTGGCCACAGCCAGTCCAATAATCCAGCCAGGTACAACTGGGAATCTGCAAAGCACAGGCTTAAGGGAGCCAAACTGTCTGAGTGGCAGATGCAATTTGTCTTCATAGGCTGAAAGTCCTCAAGAGAGACATTTTTAATTTTCCAGTCTTCTAATGGGTGGACTTGATGGTTAAACTATTGCCAAGGGGCCAAGGGCCAATTAAAATGCAAAAAGATAATCAAGGGAAGGACTCATCAGAGTTGAGAATGCAGTGATCACATCCACTCATTTTTCTATAGCTGATACCAACAAATGGGTCAGCTTTCAACTTAGCTGAACCATCAGTGAACCACATCCAGGTATTCTCAGGAATTTCTGTGGATACAGTGCTCCCAAGAGCCAGTGGATCGACTTCAGGAGGTGAAGTGAGAGATAAGTTTTCCTCCAAAGGGGGTAACTTCCACCCTTTCATAAAAATCAAAATGACACTAAGGACAAACCAGCTACATCTTTGCACAAACTATTTTCAATTGATTAATGAGGTCCACTGGGCTCTTGTTAACCATGAATCTCAAGATAACTTACTCCAAACAGGGACGTGACACCAGAGAATTAGAAGACACTGGTGGCCAGGTATTTCTTCTTAAAAAGAGCTTAGCAATAAGCAAACAGCTATGCACTTTTCCAACTGTGTACTTGGTGGAAGAGCATTTGTGTAAGCATGAGTTCAGTCCCCACCACTGCAGAACCAAAGCAAACAAATAAGCAAACCTCTAAACTTTGGCGAGGTTGCCAGAAGTTCGAAGACAGCTTGGGAAAGAGTGAGACCTTACCTCAAAAACAAAACAAAAAAGGTGCACTTGGTAGTTGGGTCAGGCAGGTGGCACTGCTGTTACTTGGGAAATAGCCTGACTTTTCCAACAGCCACCAAGCATTTAAGTAAAACTGTGATTTCTCTTTTCTCTAGGGATGATACATTGTTCTTGCTGGTCTACTTCTCTACATGCAGCAACCCATGGGAGAATCTTCTTTAAAACTGTAAGCATTCATTCAGTCAAAACATTAATACCAATTATAATTTAGCAAAGGAAGCCAGAACAGGACACTGCATAGAACTTCAGCTTTTTGGAATGTGAATGTTTACCCCCTACCTGCAGAAACACACATCAATGTTAAGAGACACACAAAAGTAACTGCAGCAGCTATAGGAGACTACATTATTACCCCAGCAGGAGCCAGAGGTGGGAAGAGGGGAGACTGACCTGCAGGGAAAGATTTGGTGCTGCTGGCTCCTTACTCCAGGGTGGCGCCTTTCCTCTCTCTTTTACCTTAAGCTCCTGAAAGCTCCTGAACCTGGGTTTCTCCTGTGCATGCTGCAGGGCTGCACCCTCCAGTCTTTAGTGCCTTCAGCCTCTCTTGCCATCTAGAAAGACCTGCACAATGGTGACTTGGGCAATTCTGACAAATTAGTGTTTGAAAAATTTACATTCTTCCCCCTCCCTTAGGGTCCCAGCTTTACTTGGATTGTATCTTAAACAGCTGAGGTTTGAGTAAAAGGAAAGAAAAAAATCAGTAGAGAGAGAAAGTAGTTCTGCTCCAATAGCAAAGATTTGGGTTTATTTCCAAGTGGCTGCCCACTCAGACTCATCAGATGAACTCATAATGTGTTTATCTACCCAAAGCTCTTCATTCATTCTTGTCGCTGACCTCTTTTTGTTTTAGTTCTTGTGAGCCCTTGATTCGACTGCTACAACCAAACTGCTTTTTCCCTAGGACCCTGATGAAACATTTAATCTTTCCTCCTCCAGCCTACAGAAAGCATCAAAGAAAGCACCAGTGCAGCCACATCACTTAATTCCACCTTTTACTACTTAGCCTCAAAAAATTCATTAACAGGTAGTGCAGTGGGGGACTGCCCCAACAACTGTTTCATTGGTACTGGGACTGGAACCCAGTACACTAACACCAACCCTTATTTTTATCTTGAGACAGGGTCTCACTAAATTGCTCAAGTGGGACTTGAACTTGCAATTCCTGCCTCAGCCTTCCTCAATGCTGGGAATACAACTGTGTGCTACTGTACTCAGCAACTTAAAGAGCATTTGTTACTATATGACAGAGCCCACAGAGGCCCTGTATTTTGTCAATATCATATCCTTGCTGCCAAAAATGTCAAAAATTGTTAAGGGACAGGGATATTTCCTGCGAAACTAGCATGAAGCTACTGTTTCAATATATGGCAACAGAAGATAAAAATACTGGGGGTAGTAATCTTATTCACAGACAAAGTAAATTTCAAATTTAAACTGATTGAAAGAGGCAAAGAAGGCCACTACATCCTTGTGAAGGGAACAATTCAAGAGGAAGAGATAACAAATAATTTATTTTCAATCTATTGAGTATGTTAGAAAGCACATATGCTCCTTTTCTCTTTTCTTCTTTTTTTGTTTTCTCTTTTTCTTTCCCTGGTGGTGGGGATTAAACTCAGCACATTGTTCTGGCTAGGCAGGTGCAGCACTACTGAGGTAAATCTCAGGCTTTACATTTCATATTTTTAAAATGAATCAACACATTAATCTTTGTCTTTATATGTTGGTCTACCAAATTGATGAGTTATTTTTGGTTCTCATTTTCTTTTGAGAATTTATGAAATCTGTATATATGAGTAGTATGAAAAGTATTAAGGTCCATCCGTCGTTCTCCTCTCTCATTTCTGCCTTCTGCAAACTTCCTTTTCTGTCACGACAGCTTGTTTGGTTGGAAATTTGTTAAGACAAATTTTGTTATGTTATCAACATATCTTTGTAACTATTTTCTACTGATAACGAATATTAATTTTTAAGTAAATTTTATCATAACTATACTTAAATATATGGATAATAAATCATTAATATCATTCAGTATCTGGTACATATTACAAATTCTCCAACTGCCTCAAAGATGATATTTGTTTTTCTCAAATCACGAAAATCACCAACATTCCACACATCATTGCACTGTTTTATTATACAAAGTATATATTGTATTGTAGAAAATATGCATTGGGTATATGGGTGGGGGGTATGTTTTTACACATTTGTGTGCACTATTTTTTTTAATTGAGTTTATTGGTACATTTTAGGGATACAGTACAGTTACATTCATTGTTGGGATCTTGCACCTCTACATGACAGGTCTTGACTCTCATTTTTTCCCCTTGTCCCTGCCCTCCCTTCACCCCTTCCCGTGTGCACTATTAAATGAGAAACATGGTCATGAATGTGGTAGGATTTCTTTTCTGTGGGAAGTTTTGTTAGAAAATGTAAGTGATACAATCAACAAACATATGATATTTATCAAATTCATAAAACCAAGGAGTTTATAAATCATAAAATTTTGAGGACAGCTTCTCAACTATAATACAAAGTAACTTTATTTGTAAATACATTATTTCAAAAATATACGAAAAGAAAATGAGAAAGAACATAATGTTTGAAGATCATATCAAACTAATAATGTATTTGGATTATCAGTCTGTCTTGCATAAAATGTTTATTTCATATCCTTTTTTTGCTGTCATATATATGTATATTTGAAATTTTTTTTTAGTATCTTCATTTCTTGTTGTCATGTATGTTTGCAATCTTTAATTAAAAAAAAATACTGGGCCAGAGACAAAAGACTTACTATCGATGTTAGGGCAAACAGCATGAACATCACGTTGGTGTTGACAGTTTACCATGCCTGACAAGTTCCCCTGGCAGAGGGACCTGTCCCAGCTGAAGAACAATAAGACAGGGAAATTTAACATATTTCTAATAAGCAGAAGGGAATCTGCTCACCTGATCTTCATCTGGCAATTAATTATTTTATCCCTCAAGGTTTCTACTTAAAAACACAACCCTGGAAAACAGACCAGGTAAAGAGCAATCCAGTCTCTGCATTCTTGACATACTCATCATTCAGGGGTGCTCAAGGATCATGATGGGCAGCTTCACCCAACCACCCAATTCAGTCTCATACCAGAGGCACTGGGTAGTACAATAAGATAAGAAAATAAATATATTACATATTTCAGTAACCACCTCTATTTGCAGACATAAATTGTCTACACAGAAAATATCATGCAATGCATTTTAAAACCTAAGATTAACAGATAAATTTAGTAAAATTACAAGATAGAAAGTCAGTATACAAAAACAATTATATACATACCAAAAATAAACAAGTTTTTTAAAAAATTAGATACTTCCTTAGCATTAAAGAAATGAAATAATTAGGTAAAAATCTAACAAAATGTGTGCAGTTGTATAGGCATGAATCTACAAAACACTAATAAAATAAAGATAAGCTGAGCTTGGTGGTACAATCCTATAATCACAGCAGAGAGGCTGAGGCAGAAGGATCACAAGTTTGAGCATAGCCTGAACAACTTAGTGAGACACTCTCTCAAAATAAAAAAAATTGAAAAATAAATAATAAAAAGGGCTAGAGATGAATAGCTCAGCACAAAGTTCCTGGTTTCAATGTCCACTACCATAAATAAATATATACATAAAAAATTATGGACACTGTCCACAAGTTGGAAGACTCAATATTGTTAATTTTCCCCAAGCTGATGTATAAATTCTCTACAATACCAATCAAATAACAGCAGAAATTTTCCTAGACATGATAAACCAAAATGAAGACTAGGTGATAGAAGTACTTGAATATACAATACTGAAGATAACTAGCAGAAGGTATTAGTGATCAGTTTTTAACAATTATTGGAAAACTTTTAATACTGTCCATTTTTCCAAATGATTGAGCTAAGTGGTAAAATGGATACTTCTCAGTCTGCAGTGGAGCGACTGTCTATAGAATAATTCTATCATTCTCTAGCTCTACATATAAGGAACAGCAGCCTTTTTATACAAGCATTGTGTATGTAACCAGTTTTGATAATAGACCATTAGATTATGGTAGGGAGCCATTCAACTACATTTCCCACCAGAATGTAGGACTTAATAGCACAGGAGACTTGACACAGTTTTGTTAAACATGTAATCCAGCTGGCCAACTGACTTAACCTCAAGACACAGAAATGAATTTGATTCTGCATAGTAACTTAGAGTGGGAGAATTCTACAAAGAAAAGGCAGCAACAAGAAAGAAAAATCAATAAGAGGACTGGGAAGTACAAACATGGCTGTTCATGGAATTCTTTGATTAAAATATAAGAGGAATGTTGGGCACAGTGGAGCACACTTGTAATCCAGCTGCTCAGGAGGCTCAGGCAGGAGGATCACAAGTGTGAGACTAGCCTGGGCACTTTAGCAAGACCCTGCCTCAAAATAAAAAAGAATCCCAGCACTCAGGAGGCTAAGGCAAGAGGACCACAAGTTCAAGGCCAGCCTGGGGTACACAGACATGTTCCTCCCCTCCAAAAAAAAAAAAAAAAATGGAGGGAGGGGGAAAAAGGCTAGGGATACAGTTCAGTGGAGAGCACCCCAAGGTTCAAGTCCCAGTACCAGAAAATAAATAAGAAGAAAAACATCAATAATATTAACATAAATGTGAGGGATGCAAAGAGAAATATAAGACAGTCAAAATGGTAAGCTAGAAAATTGGGCTGTGTAATAAATTGGGCAAAGCCCCAAAAGAGACATTCCAACAGTAGTGTAAAAGAGGGAGATAAAATTGTGACAATAAACATGCAGGGTCCAAAGTCTTGATTTGAGAAGAGAAAATGGAAAAAGTGCCATGTATTTATTTGTGTAATACACACTGGTAAATAATAAAAATATATAGAATAAAGATAAAAGTTAATATTTTTACTTACTCAAGTGAGGTAAGGAAGGATGAGGAAGAACGGTTTGTGGAATATTCTATTACAATTCTGATGCATGTACTTTATCCAACATAATTAGCTTTTAATTATTCTCTATAGATAATGAGTCATCAGTGTTGTTGATTCTCCACTACTTGGCTACTCCCCACTTGGTGGAGGTTTCAGCAGATGGTCCATTTCTATTTTTCTGATAAAACATTTGTTGTGAAAGAAATTTAAAGTTGAGTAGCCAAATCAAATTTTTGAATTGGCTTTCAACTGAAAGTATCCTTCTTTCTTGGGTACTAGTATCAGGGAGTTCAGAGTTAACTATGTTAAATATTCATTGAAAGCACACTTTTTGATGCTTAATAGTTTAAAAAGTAATTTCCTGCAATTAAAAACTGGTTTTGCATATATACTTTACAAATAGTTTCAAAGCACTTTATTTCACAAAGTTGATATTTTTTATTTACAACAGAGAATCATCAAAAATATAGCATCAATTTAGGTAACAATAATTTGGTACAAATAGTGCAGTGTAAATACAATAATCAATTATACTTGCAGTTGTCCAAGTTTAAGAAGACAAGTGCATAAAACTAAAGACCTCATATCAGAACTTTTAGAAGTGAAAAGAAATAATCAACATATCTGTAACTAAAAAAAAAAATAACTTTTGAAAAAGGCTTTTAATTGAGCTGTAGTTTGGGGTTACATTCACTTTGTTTCTTTGTTATCACTATGAAGCCAAACTGCTTTCCCAGATTACTAATTAAGTAAAATCATTAACTTAAAAAGTTATAACATAAAATTTGGTTTAAATCACCAACTACAGCATTTTTTAAAATCAATATTCTATATGAATACAAAATATATTTCATGCACAAGTGTGAAAAGTCTGTTACTGTAGAAACACTCTATAAATTCGGACATGTTTTTATGACTTTTTTCATGAAAACAATACTATCTGATTCTTAATCCAGTGGTTTAGATATTAGCAAATCTGTTTTAAAAAAGGTAACTTAGAGACACCTTGTAAAGATTTCAGTAACATATAAATTTGTGATTTTTTTTTTAAGAAGTAAAATTCAACTAAGCATTGCAGTCAATTAAAAACTAAATGCTGTTGGGCTGGGGATTTAGCTCAGTGGTGCCACTGTCTGTCTCACAAGCACAAGGACCCAAGTTCAATCCCTGGTACTAAAAAGAAAAAAAACAATTAAAAAAAAAAACCCTAAATGCTGTTTGTGATATACATCTTTAACTACATGTCACTTGTACAGGGAATACAAAGCAATGTCCAGAAATTAGTTTTGCTGCTAACACTGCTTATTGAAACTTAAAATTTTATTTTGTTTTTTTCAAAATAATCTGAATATAACTTTGAAATTTTGTCTCACAAATAAGCAATGCATAGAAATATACTTCAACAAAATTAAAGCTAATCCAAATAAAGCCTGACTGTAACCCAAATAAAGCCTGACTTACCAAAAGTTGTATAATTAATAATTAATGATTGAACCTAGATTAACCAAATTCAAGTACTTTGATATTCTTCCAGAGAGAGCAAATTATCTTAATGGGGTGGGGTTTGGACACTGTTGGTGACACATCTAAACTTTTTTAAGTAAATAAATTTCTCTGTGCTTTCTTATACTCTATGGTGATATTTGACAACAACCAACCAAACACTGAAACTTTTAGGCAGAAAAGCACATATATATCATTTCCTTATCCTTATGAGAAGTTTTAAGTGATGTTAACATATTGTCTCTGATTTTGGTTTTAAGCTTAAATTTTTTTTTTTTTTGTACCAAGGATCGAACTCAGAACCTTGTGCCTGTGAGGTAGGCAGAAGAACCACTGAGCTAAATCCCCAGCACTTAAAATAACCTTTATGTGTATTAGTGAGGCTGGCACTCTAAGATCTTTTCCCTCAACTTTCAAAATGCATAACACAACAAAGTTTTCAGTTTTAGCTGTGCAGAAAATGTTAGAAAATCACAACAAAATTTTCTGTATTAGTCTCAACCTCTCTTCTATAAAAATGTAATTCAAAACCTGTACTCATCAGCTATTCCCCTACAAATCTTAATGACTACCAAAGATTATGCTTTTCAAAATTAGAGCAATTATAATTACTAATAAAAGATAGGCTATAACATTTTAAATGAAAATCACTAATATTCCTAAAATAAAAGAAACAAGTGAAGAATAATATTCTAATAATTCAGCTATTAGTGAAGGCATCTTATGTGCCAAAAGTTATCAAATCCAGTCTATACATACTAAGTCCAAAAAAATTTATCGTCACTATTGAGAATAAAAGTGTCTTTATAGGTAACTTAAATTAATAGAAATTTAAATTTAGAGGAATATTTTTGGTTATTTATAACACTATTTTAGTATTTTGGCAGCATATCTTAATTATCTATATAATTAACTACATATATTTTCAACAATAGCATAGATACACAAAATATTTAAGAAATAATAGTCCATTAAGAAAAGTGCCATGTCAAAAAACAGAAAAAGCCAAGTGAAATCAAATATTAATGGAAAATCATCAGTATATACTCACCAATAAGAGGGTTACCAAAAGTGAAGAGTAGTAATCTCTAAAAGTAAAGCAAATGACTAAAGTTTTATACCCTGCAACTATGCTATTAGCAAATGAATGGTGTTTTGTTTTTGTTTTTGTTTTTGTTTTTAGTACTGGGGATTAAACTCAGGACCTTGCGCTTGCAAGGCAGGAGGTGGAACCACTGAGCTAAATCCCCGGCCCCAACAATTGAATGTTTTAAAAACATTACAGAATATAATCACCTTAGCTCAATCTAATTAATATTTTGAATGAAAGAGTGAATGAATAAATGAAGAAATAGCTGAGTGAAGGAATACTGGAGTGCTGACAATGTTTAACACCTCGAAATGTTCACAACAACTTGGAATACTGAGATGACATGAATAGAAACAAATTGATTGAAATTCAACGTGGTTCACTGTAAAGATGGAGTGGCTTTCCATTTGCAAACAAAGAACATTAACCAAAAACATAACTACGAAAATATTTTCAAGTACAGTTACCAAGGTGTCAAATACATACTTTTTTACTGTGTAAATTTTCCCCTATATCCCCATCTCCCTGCATTTTTGTTTAGAACAAGTGACCAACAAACTAAAATAGAATACACATTTTTAAAAGACTAATTTACTCATATTCTATTTGAGAACAACATACCATCACTTATAAATTTAGTGTTTTTAAAAAGCATCCTTACATAAAATAGTGGGGGGGGGGGTTCCCTGCTATACATATGAAGCACAGTTTAAGCCCAATACAACTGACCAATCAAAATTAGTGAATGCACTGCATCTCTCTGCAGTGGAGAGGAGCGACAAGGTAGGCTGTCATTCTGCAAAAGCTGTTCAGAACAGGCTTTCCTCAGAAAAGCAGTGCCATTCCTTTTTAGAAAGACTGAATCTAAATGTTGTCTCTGGAGACAAGAAGCCTTCAGTATGTTAAATTACTTTCATTATGTATTTTCAGAGGCTTATTGATTGCACAGTGGGAAGAGTGAGAGACTGCAGCAGCCCCTAAGCAGCACTACACGTTCCATACATTAGCAGTTCTGCTGAAACAATGGCACAGTTCAGACACATATTTTCATTAAGGTCATTTTTGAAGAGCTGTTTATGACCCTCTTCCCCCATCCTCTACTAACAAGTGAACAAAATGAAACAATCAAAATGGAAAATGCTTCAACTACATCAAGAATTTATCAAATCTTTAGCAGAGGTAAGATATGTTCCTTATTATAGAATACAGCTGCTTCTGAACCAGAATAGTGGGGTAAATTACTTTGAAATTTTTCAGTCTAAATTTTAAGAGCTTGTTTGTTGCTATTTATTGTTAACCATGTAATTTTTAGATCTATTTCTTTTAAAACATGATATATTTTAAATGTAATTTTTAGGATGTATTGTTAAACCAAAGAATATTCTCTGTTAAATCACTATGAAGACATTAGCTTTTAAATCTCTTTGGACTATTAAATATTCTTAATGTCATCAGTACAGTTTTTCCTCTGGCATACAAAAATGCTTATATTTCTTGTAAGAACCAGGCTTAATGTTTAGCTATTTATAACTCAATTTTATGCTGTTTGTTATTAGTTATATATCTTGAAAATTAATTTGCAGTTACATTTTTGTTTTACCTTTTACATTCAACCACATGAGCAATTCATCAATGGAAATTTATAGTATCGTATCACATAATCTATTTTAATGAGTTAAAATTCAAACCATGTGCTAACAATTAAGCAAGCTACAATATTTTTGCAACATCAAATGTTAAATGTATTACAAAGAGGGAATAACAGTATGTTTATTGTATATTAACTTCATTATGTCTGAAAATACACAAGAGAGCAGAAATTAATTTAAAAATACAGTCTTTCTGTCATGGTTACATTTGCAGTGGTAACTACTATTAATAAGACAATATACACAATCTATGTTTGGAAAAGGGAGTATTTACCTCAAGAAAGTTAATTTTTTGCACATAACCATGGCTCTAGCAATACAGTTTGCTTATTTTGATAATAAATAATACAGGACGTTAAATTCAGAAAAAACTAAGGAATTTTCAATTAGAAATTATGATAAACCTTATTTCTTAATCATTTTTTTCTTTTTCACAAAGGCCCATAGCAACTAATTCAGTATTTACAACCGACAATATGAAGAATGCAACTGAGAATCTCCCTGGGTCTCTGAAGCACCAACTACAAGATATTCTTGTAACACATGATTTTAAGAAACTAAAGAGTTAAAACCAGAGACTAGGTCTACATTACTGCTGGGATATAACAAGTGGACAATATTTCAAGAAGATGCTACAGAAAATAACTACAAAAAGAAATACAATATAACTGTAAAAGCCTGAAAACAAAATGGTGAGCATTTTTAAAGGGGGAGTTTATATTTTAACATACCAGAATTGTGGAAGCTACTGAGTCTCGAAGAAACAATGAAACTTGAATTTCAAAAAGGAGAATGACATACTTAACCAACAAGTAAAATAAAGCTTTCCCAAGTGTTTTCTGCAGTAAATATTCAGATATTACAATCAATTGATATGACTAATGGATTTTATCTGAGCTTTATGACCAATTATGTATCCTCTTCTAATGAAAACAAACCAAATTAAATAGCAGATGGTTTTTATCAAAAGAACATTGACTGGATATATAATGCAAAGCAAATTATGTGATCAAGAAATCACTTCAAAATAATGAGGGCTGCTGTAGAAACAGACTTAAAATTGTAACAAAAGGATGTCTAAATATATTTTAGAAGTTAGAAACCTTATGTTTCCTTTTCTGTTTTCATATACGCTGGAAAATAAAGAGACACTATCACAAACTCCCTCAAAGGGAGATGTAATTCCTATCATTTGGGGAAGTTTCTCTTGGTCGTGACTTTTAAAAGCAAAACAAACACAAATATTATGTACTGTTCTTTAGAAATTCATCAGCCAACTAAATCTCATAATTCATGCAGTTGAAGTACTGGAGAGAAAAATGAAAGAATTCCTACAAGACATGAAATAAAACACAGCCACTTCACTGTTGTCAGGTAAAAATTAATGTCAAAATGTGTCAATGACATCATGTGTCAATTTGTGAAAAACTGCTATAGTGAGCCAAAAGGCCCATAAGGCAACAGCAACCAGGTAGGTCAGAATATGCATGCACCCCATCACACTGTTTAAAAATTACAAAGAAAAGAGATGCATTTTTCTTAATTGTTGTCTAACGACATTTCTGCTTTAGCTAACTGATGTGACAAAGACCTGGTGTTTAATCTGACAGTTTAGAAAATTTGGCACACTTTAAATTTTCCATTTTTACAAGGCTTTAGTATTAAGTAAAACCTCTGTATACTTGAATAAATATGCCTCTAGTAATACTTATACCAACTCAAAAACAATTAACAATATTATCATTTCTGTTTCTGAAACATTATCCCAAAAGTAACATGCTTAAATAAAATTATATTTCTAAAACTTGTCAAAGGTGACATCACATGAAAGGTTAACATGAATTTTAAAAATTATTAGCTTTTATAATTTATGCTTAAATATATAACTTTGCAGTCAAAAAGCTGTACTTGAAATGTGAAATATAGTTGGTTGTATGATTTCATATTTTAAACTGGACTTATTACAGACACTGCAGACCAGAAAATCAGATATAATTTTTATAAACTCCTACATATTATAGATTTACATGCATTAGCTACGGAGTTCTTTTTTGTTTTTTGTTTTTCTTCAAATTTATACACTGGGGGGAATGTATACAAAATGTTTCCCAGATAAAGTGTAACTTTAAAGCTTCCTTAAAGATGGCTTCAAGAACTACTGCTTTTCATTAGAATTTTATTTTTCACTTTAAGATCTCTGTTTAAACAAATAAAAGCAATGGACAAATTCTTTTAAACCACTTCAAATATAGCTATTTCTTAATATGTATTAGATTGCAATTCTCTCTTTCCATAAGATATAATATATAAGAGGATGTGGTCAAAAAATAAATCATTCAGAAGAGTAATTAGTGATCTTGTACCAAGCTTTGTGGCTCTTCTTCTCATTTTCATAAGTTATCCATTGTAAAAATTCAGTGAGCATATTCATTATTATATATAAAATATTTGTCATTTGCCTGTCATTTGCCTTTTCTGTGAGAAATAATTGCAAATCTCTAATGCTTTATTAATTTCTGAGTATATCAACATAGATAAGATAGTATCTTTACTGCTTATCCTTTTAAATAAATACCTGTTCTATTCATTTGAAATCATACAGGTGTATACCTACACTAATCAGGCTAAAGCATATTAAAATAGTATTTATATCTATCTACTCACACCATTTTTAAGTGAAATTTTTAAATGGACTAAAATTAATTTGCATACTAGGTAGTTAGTTTTATTGTATAAAAAATACTGTTTCTCAAAAATAAATATCCTAATTACTTCCAAATTATGGAAACCCTTTTATGCTATGGAACAATCTCCATGTAGTTTCAAAAGAAGAATACAATTTCCTTTCACATTAAAGCACTGTCGCTTTGACATGTCTTAATTCTACATTTTTCACTAATAGTTTAGGAACTGTAAGTATACAACAAATCTATCTTTATGTACAAAGAATACATGTTTATACATCATTTAAACTGCCAAATATCAAATAGTTTATTCTATTTCACTTTCTAGGGAAAAAACCAACTGCTCCAAAATAATGTGCTTTTCTCCCATTCTGGAAATCAACATGCAGTCTGAATCAAATATTACAGTGCGAGATGACATTGATGACATCAACACCAATATGTATCAACCACTGTCATACCCATTAAGCTTTCAAGTGTCTCTCACCGGCTTTCTTATGTTAGAAATTGTGTTGGGACTCGGCAGCAACCTCACCGTATTGGTACTTTACTGCATGAAATCCAACTTAATCAACTCTGTCAGTAACATTATTACAATGAATCTTCATGTACTCGATGTAATAATTTGTGTGGGATGTATTCCTCTAACTATAGTTATCCTTCTGCTTTCACTGGAGAGTAACACTGCTCTCATCTGCTGTTTCCATGAGGCTTGTGTTTCTTTTGCAAGTGTCTCAACAGCCATCAACGTTTTTGCTATCACTTTGGACAGATACGACATCTCTGTAAAACCTGCAAACCGAATTCTGACAATGGGCAGAGCTGTGATGTTAATGATATCCATTTGGATTTTTTCTTTTTTCTCATTCCTGATTCCCTTTATTGAGGTAAATTTTTTCAGTCTTCGAAGTGGAAATACGTGGGAAAACAAGACACTTTTGTGTGTCAGTACAAATGAATACTACACTGAACTGGGAATGTATTATCACCTTCTAGTACAGATCCCAATATTTTTTTTCACGGTTATAGTAATGCTAATCACATACACCAAGATACTTCAGGCCCTTAATATTCGAATAGGCACGAGATTTTCAACAGGGCCGAAGAAGAAAGCAAGAAAAAAAAAGACAATTTCTCTAACTACACATGAGACTACAGATATGTCACAAAGCAGTGGTGGGAGAAATGTAGTCTTCGGTGTAAGAACTTCAGTTTCTGTAATAATTGCCCTCCGGCGAGCCGTGAAACGACACCGGGAACGACGAGAAAGGCAGAAAAGAGTCTTCAGGATGTCTTTATTGATTATTTCTACATTTCTTCTCTGTTGGACACCAATTTCTGTTCTAAATACCACCATTTTATGTTTAGGCCCAAGTGACCTTTTAGTAAAATTAAGATTGTGTTTTCTAGTCATGGCTTATGGAACAACTATATTTCACCCTCTATTATATGCATTCACTAGACAAAAATTTCAAAAGGTTTTGAAAAGCAAAATGAAAAAACGAGTTGTTTCCATAGTGGAAGCTGATCCCATGCCTAATAATGCTGTCATACACAACTCTTGGATAGATCCAAAAAGAAGCAAAAAAATTTCTTATGAAGATAGTGAAATAAGAGAGAAATGTTTAGTACCTCAGGTTGTTACAGGCTAAGAAAAGTTTAGTTTCACCAAATCTACATTCAGGAGAGTTTTAAATTTAAATTGTAAAAAATGAAATTACTGCCAAATATAAGAACATTTTAAGTATTTGGTTATGTTGTAAATTTTCAAATGTTAATGTCAATTAGATTAGGTCATATATATTCAATTTCTTCATTACTTAATGTATTTGTTGCATGGCAGTTTGTTAAAGTAATATCATATGTATATTTTGTCAATAATATGTCCATTAGAAAATATTCATGTAAAGTCATATTTTTTAAAGAATAAATACATAGCCTTAAAACAATGTATAACTTTAAAATGCAACTGATACAGGTATCTGCTTTTTTAAAATATATAAAGTGTACTGTTTCTAAGTCACAAGCTACAGATATATTTATATGATGACAACTGGGACAGCCTTTAAAAAAAACCAAAATCATACGCTTAAAACATAACAGTCCATGAGTATCTGTACCGATATGTTTCCTGGTATGCTATACTTGCTGTATTATTTCACGTTTCAAAAGTAATGAATTACATATGACTTGATTCTTCCTTTTGAATGTAGAAAAGTATAGGGTTTCTTAGTATTTTAAAACTCATGAACCAAAAAAAAAAAAATTCCCTATATGCATACCAAGACAGGGAAAATTTTAAAGTAAAGTTTACTATTAAAAAAAAAAGACTGATTTTCTAAGATCAAAGATACTATACAAAAAAACCAACAAAAGAGGAAAGGAAGAAAACAATAGCACCAGCCTTTTTCTTCCTTCCTCACTTTGCTCGATTCTAAGCCAAATGTTCTAGGTTAACAAAATAGTGATTAAAATAAAGTGATTTTCTAACTTTACTCAACTCAGCCTTTTGTATAACGAAGTTAACTATACAAATCTGAATACTAGAAAGAGGAAAAAAAGGACTTTTTATAGCATTGTAGAAAAGCCTAACAAAGACAACTGTTTCTAATTTTAGATGCAGAGCAACTTCAGAGTAATATAATTTACACAATGTTCCTAAACAATCATAGCTCCTAAGCTTTTTATAATGAAGTAGTACTGTTTCTACTTTGAAAATAATTAAGGCAACAATAAATATTGTCACTTTTTCTACTTCATCACAACATAATAAGCATTTTTCTCTTCAGTCCTCAATTCATATTAGAAAACTATGAAATTACTAATTCTAACTATAGATTATAAAGATTGGAAATCTCATAGCAAATAAATATTTTTCAATTTGTATAATGTAATAATCTGATAATGAGTGCTAATGTCACTATCAGAAAGGTAGCAATAAGTTATTTAAAATAAGCCAAGTACTTGTAATAGTGTAATTTATTAGCTAGAAAGCAATTATTCTTTTCTAATACTGTATTCACTAAATCAAGTAACAGCTTATTTCTAAATTAAAAAATACATATCAGACAATAATATATCATTTATACAAATAGATGGGATTCACCAAGTCTACTAAATACTCTAATCCCTAGAAAAATAAACATCCTGCCATAGCTTGAATTCACTGAGATTACTGCTCAATTAAATAGTGATTTACTTCTGATAATAATGCTAATATAATGTTAAATCTTGGCAAACACCCAATTTCCTTCTGCTTTTCTTTCCACTGTTTTTTTTTGAAATAAAGAAATCCCTCAACTTGACAAAATGTAGCATAAGTAAGACTTATTTTTTTTTTTAAATCCTGCAAGAAGCTAACATATCATGATCAAAAGTGTTAAAAATTTTTTTCAATCAATAAATACATTTGGCACAGAATATGTCCTGATATCTTCATTTGAAATTTGAAAATGAATTTATAGTTAGACTCCTAAGCATAAATTAAAAATTTAGTACCTACTTTTATAATCGGACTATTTTTAGAGACTTCATGTCAAGAAAAACTTTTTCTTTTTTTTTTTTGGTACCAGGGATCAAACTTGGGTTCTTGAGCTTGCGAGGCAGCCACTGGAACTACTGAGCTACATCCCCGGCCCTCTTTTTCAAATATTTATAATATTCAGGTTTATAAGCATGCCAAAGAATTCAGTATAGGGGCCGGGTATGTAGCTCAGGAGCACCACACCTACGTCGCAAGCGCAAGTTCCTAAATTCAATCCCTGGTACCAAAAAAAAAAAAAAAGAATTCAGTCCTTATATACTTGTTGAATAGTTTTCATGAGGTCTCACTTTTTCTGTAATAAGAAACAAACTAAAATATATATGGCAGACATTATAACTTTGTCCTATAAAATACTTCTGCACCTGTCCCTGGAGTAAACAATAACAAGCATTTAGCCCACCCGTAATCATCTTCCAGGTATACAAAAAAGCAATCACTTATCTACAACAAATAAAATTCATACTTATTGACAAGTTTTAATAGCTTTTTAGTGGATTAAACAGTATATAATATGTGAATGAAAATAATATTTATATGTTAAAAATTCAGCTTTCAAAAACTATTCACAAATGTTTCCAACAACTGACCTCTGTTTAAAATGAATGAGGGCCGGGGATTTAGCTCAGTGGTTCTGCCGCCTGCTTCACAAGCATAAGGTCCCAAGTTCAATCCCCAGTACCAAAAATAAAATAAAATAAAATAAAATGAACAAGTTTAGACAACTTTTACTTTTTATGACATAGTTGTTCTATGAAAAGATTTAAAATCACTGTCCTGAGGATAGCTTTTGTCCAGTATGTAAATTTTCCTTGTTACTAATAATTTTAACCCAAAAAAAGCATGCATGCTAATTTTTCCTAAAGAGCTAGCCTAAAAATTTAAAAAGCCAATTCAAGATTGGTCAAGGATTCTATATCTAAAATGTTTGGGACCAGTAGTATTTTTTGTTTTGCTTTGTTTTGAGACAGGGTCTCACTATGTAGTTCAGGCTGCCCTTGAATTTACCATGTAGCCCAGACTGGCCTCCAACTCACAGCAAGTGATCCTACAGCCTCAGCGTCCTGAGTGGTGGAATTATACACACGTACCACCATGCCTGGCTCCACTAGTATTTAAGATTTCAGAATTTTTCTGATTTGGAAAAGCTATGCAAGATATGTCCATATATATTCTTCTTTAAAAACTTATTTATGTGTCATATGCATCACAACTACATAACCTGGACATAATTTTTAGTTTACTTAATTTCAACAGAAATTATCTCATAAGATCAAGTGTAGAATTTTCCCCTTATGGTGTCATGTTTGCTAAAAAGTTGTGATTTTTGGAACATATGTATTTTTGGATTTCAGATGCTCAAGTTATATTAAAAAGTACAAAAACATCTAATATAAGAGAAAATGTAGTAAATGCTATAAAAGAAAAGTAAAGTTTATATGAAGAAAAGCATTATGTTGAATTTAACAACAACAAAAGCATTGTTGAAGAAAACAACTATAGCATGCTCTGGAAAGAGCACACATTCTTTACAAGGAAAATAATATAAAAGTGAGAAGTTACCTAAGAAGTTAAATTGGGATATCAGAGCAAGGAAATAACAACATGAGGAATGAGTTTCAAAAATCTTAACAGTAATATGCAGACAGAATTTATTCTGTAAGACACAGAAGACAAAAAGCTACTGCCATGAGCCTGATGTGCAACAACAAAAGGACAGGCAAAAAACACGGCAGAAACTCTCCAAAGGAGTGTTAGCTGTGACAGGCAATGAAGGCAGAATCAAAAGGGGTTGCCAACCATCTAAAAGGCAACTGGTGCATGGCAATAAGGAGGACCTGAAGACACTAGATTACCTTCAATGACTGAAGAACTATTTCACTCAGCTATGCATACAGTATATGGAAAACAAGGGTAACACAAAAAGAATTATGGGGAAAGCACTTTAAAGAAGTAAAATAAATAACATTACGCAAGACTTCTTGTATTAGAAATTACTTAAAATTGAATTTTCAAATTTACATTTTAAATTATCTATTTTACATCTTCTATTTGGTTTACTCCTTTTTACTGTTGAACACATCTTTTTTATTTTACTTTGTAAAAATTTATAAATACATACAGAAAAATCACCAATGTATATACAATGTAATAAAATGAATACTATGCTTTCCTTTTTCTCTCAAATAATTAATTATGAGCAGCCAACCCATTATATACATCATATTTTCCTCATTCTTTGTGATTAGGGGCATAAAGATAATATTTCTAAATTTAAAAATTTAAATATAGCAATATTTTACAGATAATATTGATAAAGGTCAAATGACTTAACTTTTTTATATTATAGTTATGCACCTTCAAACTGTATTTCAAGACCACCTTGGAAAATGTAAAGAAAGTTTTTTCTTGATCTGATGACTGCAATAGGTCATTTTTCTGAATGAAGGCAAGAAGCAAGAAAAATATATAAAATATTATATTTCTTTTCCTCCTTTTCTCCAAAAAGAATGAGAAATAAGAAAACTAAGGAAACTTTTGGAGATGGTTTTTCTTATATTATAATGACAGACACTTGTATAATTCTCCATAATGTAAACTTAGCCCCCCCTTCAAGGAACTCCTAGGAAGTTAAATATGAGTTGAATTATAAATATTATTCTTCTTAGAAGAAAAAATAAGGAGATAATAAGGCTGGAAAAAGATGTAAAATACTTGAAGATGTAGCTCTAAGAGATACACAAATGAATCAGAATTGTGGATTAGAGTTCACAGAAGAAAATAAATATGAAGACTGACCTTTTTCCAAAACACATAATGAAAGACTCTCCAGCTGACACAGGGTGGACCTACCAGAAATAATACTAGTGTAACTGAATCACAAGAGGTAGAATAATTTAATATTGTAGCAATTCAAAGATGTTTGGCATAGAGTAGTACTGACTTGTAGAAACAAATGGAAAACTGGCTTATCATGGAAATGAAAGCTATCATCTTTTAAGGAATATTGTCTGTGTAGGAGAAAGAGTTGAGCAGACTTAATGACAATATTTCTCTCTTGGCTTATGATAGCACAACATGTGAAAATAAGCCCAAGTACTGTATCTCCACCATTCTAGTCACACATTTTTTCAGACCCCAGTAAGTTATATCCATGGCTTTCAAGCATGACAGCTCTGTACTTCCACCAGCAAGTGGTA